TGGAGGGCTACCTAAATGGTTAGAAGAAGGTAGGCCGGTCGAGAGTGGTCCAATCGACATTGTTGTAAGTTTAGAAACTGAATTTTCATTTCCAATTTTTTTATTTTTCTAAAATATGTACATATAAAATTGTAATTTATTTTTATAGTCAAAATCGTACAAAGTTCCAACATTAAATACAGAACTCGTGAGGAATTATGATGATATCAGGAAAAATATTGACAATGGTAACGATTCTCCAAAATTTGAACAAGTTCTGGACGCTAGGCCTGAACCACGGTATTTGTTTAATTAAATTTGGCAAATTTTTTTTTTTTTGTTTTTATATTTATCATTAATGAATTTAATTATTATCAAAAGTTTCACTGGTGATGCATCCGAACCAAGGCCTGGACTCCCCAGTGGGCACATGCCATATTCTATCTCAGTACCATTCAATTCAATCATTGATCCGGATACCAAAAAAACACTTTTGAACGATGATGAATTGAAGAAACTCTTTGAATCAAAGAATGTTGACTTAGAAAAACCTATTGTATTAAGCTGTGGCAGTGGTATCACTGCCACGATGCTTTATACTGCTTTGGAAAAAATTGGTGCCAAAAAACTTGCGGTTTATGATGGAAGTTGGACTGAATATGCTGGAAAGGAAGGATCCCCTATTGTTGGTAGAAAATGAAATTGTAAATAAGTTTATCATAATTACAAAATATAAAACTTAATAAAAATAGCTTCTTTTGGACATAAATGCTAAAATAAATAATTTCACATTTAAAATATCTATTGATAATGACCGTGTGGATAATAAATATGAAATCCAAAAAAAGACTTCATATAATTTTTTATGATTATTCAATTTGATTTATCTCTAGTTCACATCTAGTAAAAATATAATACTGTATATATAGTCGCAAAATAACGCATCCTACACGTTATTTTATCCACTATTCATTATTTTGAGATACCCTTGTGTTATTTCGAACTAAAAGGTCAAACATTTGAACCTGAAGTACATATCCTCTAATACATATGTGCGTGTTATTTTATGCGTTATTCTGAACCAAATATGATTTTTTAAAGGATGCAATTTCCAAAATAACTCACAGATATAATTACCGCTTAAACTATAAATGTTCAAATACTCAAGCGTAATAAAATCATCCCATGGAGTTTTAACAAGTATACTCAAGGTGTCATTTCATAATTATACAATATTAACTTAATTCGTGTTCTGCTCGAGAACTAGCAAATTAACCCAATAGAGTTCATTATAATATATTGCATTTTCGCGTAATAACACCCACTTGCGTGTTATTTTGAGTACGCTCATGTTGAGATAAAGGCTGATAAGAAGTCATTTATGTGATTAGTTAGTTTACATTGACCCAAGCATGGCGACGCGCACAGGCATCATTTAGAAGCTACATATGTTATGTAGTAGAAGTAATGTTATTACGCGAAATACGGTAAATTACATTTAGCTAACTTTTAAAATAAAATTATTGAAAAAGATTCGTATGATATAAGACTCGGCACAAACAGCTAAATGCAGTACATTACGGGAGTTTTTTTAAAAAATTAAAGTCAGCCACTAACACTAAGCATTTCAAACTAAGATTTCGGTATTCAAGGCTTGAAAGCTTTCACTTGCTTCCCTCAGTTCCAGCCAATTACAGAGTAAAAAAATTTTAATATTATAAACGGAAGGATATTTCAAATCAAAATTTTATTAAAGTTATTAATTATATTTAACGCAGATAATAATGCCCTCAAGCCATAGAAGCATGTAAATATTATTCATTGATCTTCCGATTTGTGTCTTTTAACTTGCTTAGTGGTGTCGTCGTCGTCTCCAACAGACGTGCTATCATCTACATGAGGTACAGCCTTTATAGAATCTTGTTTACGTTTTTCACTAAAATATAAATAGCATTCAGTATGAATAGAGGATTGCTCATGTATTCTAATACATACATCCTCCCCTATAATCACAGTTTGGCACATACCTATCTGATGATAATATAGAAGTGATTATATAAAAGTACTTCTATAAAATCACATAAAAATATGTGATTACAAATAGGCAAATTATAAAATTTTTTATAACATAAAAGTCAAACTTTTACTGAGCAAATCAACAATTTTTTTTTCGTGTAAACGTAAATGTATTAATAAAGTTATCTGATTTGCATGAAAACTTAAAAAGTAAGTATATTTTGTTCTTCCGAACAACTTTACTCATTGCATAAAAATTGATTTATTTAGTAAAATATTGACTTTTATATCTGATAATTATTTGCGATTATAATAAATGTGATTATAAAGAAGTGATTTTTATTATCAACAAATTCTAAAAACATGTGATTATATAGAGTTTATGATTATATGGAGGAATGACTGTATTAAAATGATAAATACCTTCCATGAACGAAAGCAACAGCTTGACTTAACTGGAAACTAACGCAATACATGTCCTTATTAGGTGCTACTTTTCTAACAAAGTGAATTTTATATGTATCTTCTTTTAAAGGATATCCTAAAACTGCATTGATCCGCTGAACGCAAATTCAAAAAAAAAAAGAAAAATTAGTAATCAAAGTACCCTTCAAATTCTCTAAAAAATTCAATAATAATCTTACTTCAACAATCTCGACTTCTGGCGTATCACTCTTAGAGAAGCAATAACAGTGGATCATTGGTAGCTCTAAGTCTAAAGATTTGAATAATGCCTCTTTATCTTTCCAGAGACCTTTAAATGCATCTATATGGTAAAATCTGATCAGGATCATAAATTCTAAATTTTTAATAATACTGATGAAGATAATAGTGATAAAAATTACCCAAAAATTCTATAGCTGTTGCAGGTAAATTCATGATAAAATGATTGAAATTATAAGACAACGGTTTTTGTAATGTCACATTATTTTTTACTTTTGAAATTTTAGACAATTCTGCATTATCGTCATATGCTTTTTGTAGATCAAACACAGCCTTGCTTATGAACAACTTTCCGTCTAAATTATATGGATGAACTTTATCTTGTACCTAACAAAAAAAACCAGATATAAGATAAATAAATTATATATTTAGTTACAGCATTCTAACATTAATTACAACAGTGATTACCTTGTTTAATTTAATGTTTTCAACAAGATAATTGTATGATGAAGGATTTAAATCATTTGCATACACGATGCACCCTTTTTTAGCAGCTGGAATTGCAAATGGACCAACACCAGCAAACACATCACCTATGTAAATTTTAATCGACATGAATGAGTATGGTAATTATGATAAGCATAAGTGTGTTAAAGAACAAAATATTTCATTTATGCTTATAAATTTCACCTACAAATATATTCGCCCTTCTTAAACATTGACAATAAACGACTGTGTTCGGTATGCAGCCGTGAATTCCAATATACTTGTGAGAAATCAAACCGAAATCTACAATTACTTTCTTTCTAACATGATAAAAAATACATAATTAGCATTAAAAATCTGACTTATTGCGCAATTAAATTATGATGAAATAGATTAAACCAAACCATTTCTGCAATCATATTATTTTCCCCTGCTAAAATTTCCATCTTGAAAAATCGATAGGTTGTGTCTATCACATCTGTCTTATTGACAACAGTTGTAATATTTGGATTTTTCTAATTGAATTTTACAAAATTAGATATTTGAGATTCATCTAGTCTTTAATAAGAAAAAAAATAATTACATCAAGAATGATTTGACCAATTATATATTTCCATGGGAGGAATTCATCACGTAAATTCATGTGTGCTAAGTTTAATAGAAAAGTAAAGTTAGATCCATTAATCAAAAATACAATTGCAATTTCCTTATAAACAAGAAATGTTCTTACCAATATGACCAACCTGGGTAAACGACGTTGGAGATTCAACACCGCTTGGTAATATTGCCTTAATTATATCATCTTAGCATTCAAAATACAAATGGTTTTAACAATTAAATATTATTTAGCTTTTTGTTTTTTTTTTAAAAAAAAAATATATATATATACCATTATAAATATTTACCAGCTCCCCAATAATCATATTTCAATTCAACTGAATGCTTTACAACACCAACTCCCTCATTCTTTATAAAATTTTTAATCTCACTGGATATATTGTCCAGTTCTATATAAAAAAAATAAAATGCGATACTATTACTATTTGTATATAACATAAATGAGCATATAAGCTCTCACTCAACACTTATTCATTTCAAATTAATATTTAGATAGACTTAAATGTACCTAGACAATACCTAGACTTTCAACTTTAGGATTCAACAAGATAATTCTTGTATTCGATGATTCAGGATCGTTCACAACATTTTTCAGTTTAGGTTGGTTGAACAAATCCCTATATACATTAAAGCGTCAACAAAAAAATTCAGACCAAAAAAACGAAAGCAAAAAAATACATAAATCTTTATTATTAAACTTACTTGTTCACCACTTTTAAAAACTTTGCTACTGAATTTGTAGGTACACGTACTCCAATAACTTCAACAGTACGTCGAAACAATTCACGATTAAGTACCGTTGTTCCATGTTGAACCGGCGGTAAAAACATTCTTAAGATAATCTTGGGGAAAAAATAAAAATGCAGATCTTTTATGCACATCAAAATTACATAAGAAAATTGCCGGACTTATAAAATTTTTAGTTTAAACCGAACTTAACAAATTTTATTTAAACTTTTCAGTTCTCAGAGTTTATTACGTAAGTGTTTGGTTTATCCGAGTTTGGTTTAGAGAGTGTTTTTTGAATACATATTTATCATTTATTAGAGTACTGGATACAAATTTATTAGCAAGTTTTTGAGATAATACATAAACTGTATAGGTGTAAAATACTCAGTTGTGTTACTCAGTTGTGTTTATTATTATTAGAAAAATAGACAGATATTATTATCAAAAATTAGTAGAATATGAGTATTATAACTAAAAATAGGTGTAGACAAAACCACACAAAGTTCGATCTATTGTTCACCTATTAAACCTTCTACTAAACTTCAAATAATAATATTTATTATTATTATTATTATTTTTACAAATCGATATCAATAGGCTTCCTACCCACTAACAAATACATAGGAGTAAAAATACCCAATCTTCCACCTTCAACGAGACAATCACCAGCAGTTTCAAGTACACTTTGAGTTTGAAGTGAGCCAGCAGGTGCAATACCAAGTTTTTCAAGGCAACCAACCTTAAATTGTTTAAAAAATATATACATATATTAGAACCGATTTGATACAGTAAAAAAATGCAAAAGAACAATAATATTTACCAAAGCTCTAGTACAAAATTTGCCAAATCTAGTCATACGGAAAACGGTAAAATAGTCACCCAAAGTTTGAGCACTTCTAAGATCCCCTTCAAGAGGATAATACCAAGGTATGGGATCATCATTGATAGCCATATCTTGAGCACATTCTATTTCAAACCCAACATTTTTAAGCGCTTGTAAGGCAACATGCGTTGAAAAGAGTTCTGGAATACCGTCAGCATACTAATTGAAAAAATATCAAAAGTTATAATTTTAGGTGACATAAATAGATTCATAATTAATAATAATTACCTCAATGCCACGAACAATTCTTCTGTGTTCAGGATTATCATGATCGTATTTATCAGTGGTACACCATTCATAAAAAGCGAACACACCACCAGGTTTTAAAGCACGAAAAACTTGAGAGTACACACCCTCTAATACAGGTGCATGACAAGTAGCTTCAATTGCATAAACAGCATCAAACGTATTTTCTTCGAAAGGCATTGACATAAAATTTCCTTTAGTAAATTCAGTTTTGTTTTCTAAACCTAGTCTTGCAGCAGCTTTTCTTGCTCGATAAATTTGATAATCGTTGTTATTAATACCGGTGACGTGAGCTCCTGTGAATTGAGCAATTTCACGTGCTGGGCCACCTTTTTTTTTTTAACGAAAAGCATAAATAATTTATATATTTAAAAAAAAACATTAAATAAATATAGATAAATTAAATAAATAAATAAAAAAATATAAAGACAAACTTCATACCAACGCCGCAACCAACGTCCAAAACCTTCATTTCGGGTTTTACGTTCAATTGCATTGCCAAATAATGTTCATGTCGTGCTATGGCTTGGTAAAAATTTTCACCGAAATTAAACCTACAAAAATGAAAACATTCACCCCATCCATACTAAAAAAAAAAACGAATTCGTAAGCGAGAATTCTTTTTTTTTTAAAAAAAAAAAAAAAGAAAAAAAAGGACAATTTACTTCATAAAAATCCGTAGCGATGTTATAATAAGAATTAGTCATGTTAGTGTAATTATTTCTCCTTGCTTCTTTATCATCTTCGGATTCAGTTACGGGATCTTTTTCAACCCAATATCCCATGTAATTATTCACCACAGTTTCAAAGGCAGTTTTATCCTTTGATAAAATGGTAGATAGTAAACCATTTCGAGCAGTATCATGGTCATGCAAAGCTTTTGAAAATTCCAGATCATTAGCATGAGATTCTGAAACACTATTATCGGGAAGAGACATTATGAAGTATATAGTCTTAAAAAGTCGTAACAATGGATGAAAAATATTTTATTATATCTGTGCAACGTTATATTTGGCATAAAATAAGCGTGATAGAAAACTTGTCTTGCTAATTCATTCATAAAGTCGAGTCGGAAATCGGATTAATTATAAATAGGTTTTCTAAATAGGCAACTTTGCGGGAAGTTATCTTTCATCGAACACTGATGTGAAATGACGTACAAAAAAAAAAAAAGAACTCACGAGAATAAAAGGTAAGGATCCTCAACTAAATAATTCATTCTTTTAATCGATCTCGTATTCAATTTGACTAATCGGTATTAATTTGTTTAAAGGCGTTTTAAACTTATAAAGGTAATGAATAATATGTAAACAAATACATCGTAGCGAATTTGATATGATTGACGTATGTCGTAACTACTTTAGTGTTTAAAATACTATATCGATATTAGTAACAGCCGGAAAAGGAAAACCCGTAAGTTGATGAATGATCGCTCAGCCCCAGAATTGATCCCAAATTGCATGTGATTAAAATACATAACAGATAGCGTTATTCTAATATCGCTTAGATTAAATATATTTTAATTAATTAGATTGGAAGAAGTTAGAAGGGAATTACCAAGAGCAGTTTCATGGCAAATTTTGAATAAAACGATCAACCTGTCACACATTTCGGACATGCATCAGTCAGTTATAATGTGAAAATTAACAATTCTTCACCGAAAAATCTGCATAAAAAATTCATTCGCATAATGTTACTTATCCACCTTAAAAAAGAAGTGACACGTAAACTAGTACGTATAATTATCAAAAAACTGATTTGATTATCTACGTTTCTGGGGTTATGCACGTTGGGCAGCATATTCGTGTGACAGTTATGATTCAACATTATATTTGAATAATGGGTCGAGTACTTCCATTGAATAATGTATATTCCCATCATTTAATGACGGATTTAACGCACTACGTAGTATCTTTTTAAAACAAAATAGTTAATAACTATGTTGTGGAGGCCTACACGGGCAGAGCCGAAATTAAAAATTTTTAAAAACTTAAACATAATATTAAAACATAATAAACTTTTATTTTGCGAGCCATGCAGGAGGGCTGGGTAAATTACATGTACGTACGTAGACTCATACTTTGTTGAGGCAATTAATTGACAATTCTTTTTGAATGGTTATATTTACTTCATAATTGTCAGTTTTCTAAGTACATACGTATACGTATTAGCTAGGTAATGCGTAGCATTATGTGTCCGGAGCTTACGTATCATGTGTGTATATATTCAACCGATCCACGAATCACACCAGAGGTGTGGTTATATCAGAAACAAGTTAATACTTAATATTTGATGTTTTAAGCAAAAATGCGCGTTTCGAAAAATCCATTCTAACTTTACTTTTGCTCTAACTTTTAGCCTATATATAATTTCTAATCTCATTCTAATTTCTAAACCTAACCTAGTTGCACAAATTGTTTGAGAGCAATGAGCCCTTTAACGGTTCTGCTATAAGTATGAGCACTTAATCACATGATTATTGGCCATCAATAAAAAATTTTTATAAAACATCGTTAATCATAAATACCGAAGTATAATTCGAAAGCTAGAAACTGCTTACTTAATAGACAATTATTTCATAAGCACCTTATTTTACGTACAGACGATTATTACGGCTATACAAAAAGGTATATGATTTTCATGATAATAGCGAAAAATTTCTGAGATTCTCATCTTTTTCAATCAAGGGAAGCCTAATTTTTCTCCAATTCCTGATTGGATGTATGAAAATAACATTACTGATTGGACAAAAAATAGATTACGCAACTTTTTGCTATCAAGATCCAGTATAACATAAAATCATGAAAAAACTCGAAACTTTTTAAAAAAATCGTAATTTTACTAATGAAACTACCTTTCGTGTCTTAATAAAAAAAACTCCTTGAAAGATCTTAATATTTATTTTGAATTTATACCAAAATTAACATGTTTTATAACTTTTAATATGTTTTTACCGTATTTTTGTTTTTATGTCAGATCAGAATTTGTAATCAATTTAATAGGAACTAGGAGGAAAACCCTTCAATCAGCAACGTCTATATTCTTTAAAATTGTCGGAGAATCAAAAAATCTGTCAATTGCCTGTGATTTCACACGATAACATGATCTGCAGAGGTCATATAATTCATAGACAATTTTATTTCATCAATAGATCACTCCAAAGTAATTGTATTCTAGTCATTGTTATTAGGAGTAAGATAAGTATTATGAATGAAAATTAATATAAAACAAATTAACTTGCATATGAAATAAGCTATCGGTGAAATGAAATAAATAAGCTGTCGGTAAATTACTTACTTACTTCCGATAAGTACCGTATTTTGCGGAATAATATTCCCCCTTAGCATAATACCCTTACTTGTTAAACGTACGGTATATAATGTAATAGATTTGTAAAGTATCTGGTTATTTTAGTCAAATTGATTAAATATAAATTATCATCTATTTTAATTTTAGTAATGTTCAAATATCAATACCTCTCTTAAAATAGTACTCTTTTTCGATCATAGTATCCTCCTAGAACAGTTACCGAGCATAAATAAATATATTATAATATCCCGGGTTATTATTCCGCAAATACTGGTAATAGATAGAATGTAAGAAGCATTTAATATTATTAAGAGATAAATCATTTCTATTTATAAGATTCCTTTACCCATCCATGATGAATTGATCAAACTTGTATATAACTACGTTTTATCTATCGTTCATTTGTTGTTTGAATTAGTCAACTATATAAGTATGCGCAGCTTGGTTAGCTCAAATTACAGCTGTTTTCATAAATTCTGGAAAATCTAAAAAAATTGACGACGAATGAATCGATAAATTTCTGATTCTGATTCCGGTTTATATCAATTTGATCATCTGAATATTTTTAGCCGTCCTAGAATTTATGAAACAGCTGTAATTAGAGTAACCGCTCATATTGGCCAATAATTTTGTTTACCAATCATATAAAAAATAATACAAATTTAGGAGATTAAGAAATAAAAATCAATACATGACTCTTCAATATAGCATAAGGGTTTCTGAGATACATAGCTCACAACCTGGGCTTGAAGCTGTCTTTAAGAAAAATAACAGTACCCGCCAAAACCAAATTTTTTGAACATATTATTTCTTTGAACTAGCTATTCAGATTTTGTTTTATAAAAAAGGTTATTGTCCAAACTCATCATATATAATTAGCGCAGCATTTTTATTTTCATAAAATCATCATTACCATCATATTTAAAGTATCCGAGACCGTTAAATTGCTTTAATTAACAATCTTTAGACACATAATCAAAATGTGTTAAGGAACCTTTATTATTAACTTCTTAATATGAGATCCGAGTTTTATACTAAGTTTATTTGGTTCTTTTAAAATTCTTGAGGTAGTTGATCGTAGATAATGAATCTTGGTTTATACAGTAGATAGTAACGTGAAAAATATCAATTTTTTTCGTACCTTATATATATATATCTTCTAATTATATAGTACCGAATTTATTTTTTCGCATATGTTTACCAACTTATGTAGACATAGTTATCTGTTTTCTATGTAATTTTGTGAAATAATAAAAATTATGCAATTTTAAAAATTATTAAAATTGCAGGTAAAGGTCTAGCGATGTTACACAAACATCCAAACTATGTGATGAGTAGTATCACACGTAGTTTGTGATGGTTAATTTTTTATAGATCTAATTGTGAATACCTGTGACAATTAACCAATCAAATTGCATATTTATAAAACAACTCATCGTTTAAATACTGCTAGAAAATGCAAAAAAGCTTCATAAAGAATCAATGCAAACTAGTAAATATACACAAAAGAAATTATAACATACAATATTTAGAAAATAATAGGTACGTATAAAATAGGGTAAAATGATATTTATTATTAATATACTAGAACTCATTAAAGAATCTACAATATATAACTAAAAACTTTAATTTATGGTTGCCGAATCTGAACATGATTCTTTTACGACTAAAGGGCTTATAAGCAATCTTAGACGAAACCATTTCTAGCTGACTTTACTCTACAATATAATCTAGCATGGTCCAAGAGTGATGATATTGTTTGTATTCTACACAAAATTCGTCAGGAATGAGATCTTTTTGTGATTCTTTTACATAGTGAAAATTGACAGTGCTCTGAAGCCACAACTGATTTTATGTTGATTTTTCATTAGTAAAAAGTTGTTCTAAAAAAGTACTTTAAATAAGTTACCTGAGCAATTAATTTACACCAACTAATTAAAGGAACTTCGCCTCTGATATAACTTCTAGATATAAAACTAATAATGTTTCGTTAAAATGACTTTATTAATATTAAAATTCGAAAAAGAATATATAATATTCGTCATAGATGATAATTACCTTTATGTGTTAAAAAAAAAGAATTGTGTAAAAATATTTTTGTTAGCAGACACAATTCTTGTACATATGTTTAAACAGTGTCAAAATTTTTTTTCGCACCTTAAAGATTAACAATATGTGCGCTTTTGCACATATATGTTTTAAAATTATAGACACAATACGCAATTGAAATCAAATTATATGTTTAATTGATATCAACTTTATAAGGATAGTGTCTGAAACCAGTCTTATTTTTCGTATGGTAAACCCGGTTTAATCAGGTTTAACATATGAAAATAAACAATATGCATGCTTTCTAAATCTTATTCGTTTTAATACTGTAATAAGAGACCCGGGTATATTACAATTTACGTCTTCAGGGGTTAAAACTGTCACGCGAATATCAACCAATTAGATTATAGTTTCTTTTTTTTTTAATTGATGGGTCATATGCCTGGTGTCGTGATTACCTAATATGTACTGCGATTATCCATTTTTTTTAATAATTACGTCATTTGTATCGCGTTCATCTTTTTTTGGTCCGTGAACATCTGTTTTTTATCTAATCTGCACCGCGTTCATTTTTTGTGAA